ACCCACACCATCCATCCATCCACTCATCCATCCACCCACCCACTCCATCCATCATCCATCCATTTCCATCCATCCATCCATTTACCAATCCAACCATCCATTCACCCACACCATCCATCCATCCATCCATCCATCCATCCATCCATCCATCCATCCATCCATCCATTTACCAATCCAACCATCCATTCACCCACACCATCCATCCATCAACTCATCCATCCACCCACCCACTCCATCCATCATCCATCCATATCCATCCATCCATCCATCCATCCATCCATCATCCATCCATCCATCCATCCATCCATCCATCCATCCATCAATCCAACCATCCATTCACCCACACCATCCATCCATTCATCCACCCATCCATCCAACCACTCCATCCATCCATCCTCCACCCCACCCACCCACCTATCCACCCACCTACCCATCCATCCACCAATCCAACCATCCATCCACCCACACCATCCAACCCATTCATCCATCCATCCACCCATTCACCCATTCTTGTATTTAACTCAGAACCAGACAGATGGAACCCTCCTGGAGTCCACCTTCTAACACGAGACAGGTCAGCAACCACCAGTGACCTCAAGCTAGTGGCCGAGAGCTCAGGGATGCTATTAACACCAGCTGCCATGTCCACTGGCTCTTCCCTCAGCTGGGGTCAGGCCTGTGCTGAGCCCTCACCATATAACCCCTCATTTTACCCTCACTGCACACATCCAAGAGGCAGGGACCGCTCATAACTCAGCCAACCGACGAGGAAGTGGACACCCAGAAAAGTTGAGTGTCTCGTCTAAGGCCACACAGATCCTAAGTAGAGGAACCGAGCTCTGGTGGCCTTTGGGGGCTGAAGCATTCAGCCCCTCTGCTCGGGAAGGGGACACAGAGGGCAGGGTGCTGAAGGAGAGCAGGGCGTCCTGCGGAGCTGGCAGTTAACAACAATGACAACAACAAAGGCTATACAAAACCCATGCAGGGAGAGCTGGACGCCCTTACCTGGGTCGCCGCGGCACCGGGACGTCTGGCAAAGGACTGTGCACACGGGTCCTGGGGTCCGAAATCCTTTGGTCACTCAGTTAGAAGTCCACCTGCCAGCGACAAACAGAAGCTGCGGTGAAGGCCTGCCAGGGACCAGCCCCAGCTCTCCTTTCCGGTTGCAATGCTCTCTGAGCCCTGCAGGAGGCAGTGCGACAAGGCCAACACTGCAGGGGCCTGGTCTTCCGCCTGCAGACCTGGGAGCCACTGGGGGTTTCTGGAAAGGATCGGGCGCCCGTCCTGTGTGAAAACATGCACGCATCTGTCCCGCTGGGTCTAGCACCGTGTCCTCTGCAGGGCAGGGGGTGTCGGCCAATGTTGGATGGTCTGCTTGGATGTCAAATATAATTCTGTATGTCGTAGCAAATGGGGAAAATGCAGAGAGTCCTCATGCTTTGAAGGAAAGTTCCCTTTTGCTCGGACACTGCATTCCATCCATTCAGATCAACGGGCTCATCGTCCCAAGCAGGAGAGGGTCTGCGATACGCCCAAGGTCACACGGCAGCTGGGTGCAGAGGGAGGACCCCATCCTCAGTCTGTCCTGATTCCTGACCTGGCTCTCTCCCTATAGCCATCTGATTTTCAGCTTTGGCCACTACGCCAGGCCTGCTACCTGTGGGTCAGTGTGTCTGCCTCGGCCCAGGCATGGCCAGGCAGGGAACTGTGCTACCCTGGACACAGTGCGGAAGTGGTGTCCACCGTGGTCAGGGCTATGATCTTTCGAGGCAGAGGGACTAAGGCTGGATACTGTTATAACCTCTTTTCAGAAGTGGGAGCCTCAGCAGGAGAGGGATCCTCTGGGAACGTCAGTCTCTGCATCTTTGTCACAAGGATTGTAACAGCACCTCCCTCCTGCCTGATGTTTGGGAGTCCAGAAAGCGCTCGACATAGCAATGGTTCAATAGATGTCGGGGAGGTGGTGGGGAGGGGGACAGGGTACATGCGGGTGGGGCCGAGGGGCTGGAGCACTGAACTGGAATTACTTTATGGCTTTGACAAATCTTTAGACAAACTGGTCTCTCAACTCCCCCAGTCCCTCCTCCCTTCTTCCTCCATCTCTTCTTTTTTCTGCCTCTCAGACCACCATGCACCCCAGACCCAGGAGGTACACCCCTCCCTCCAGGGTCCAGGCCCCCACCTGCCTGTGGAGCCCCTCACCCGTCACTATGCACTGCCCTCATTTTGCCAGCCAGCAAGAGGCGAATGTCATTAGGCTCTGCAGGCTGGTGGGTGAGCGGGCTCATGTCACACCAGGCCCTGCAAGCTGGTGAGCCTAATGTCTCCACAGCCAGTGCTGGGGCTGGGGCTGGGGGAGGGGCTGCGGCAAGCCATTTCCCAGGCAGGAGCCATTCTGGGCTTCTTCGGAAATGGTATGAGGAGGAAATCAAGAAAGGGCTGCAGTAGAGAGGTGACAGTGGATCTGGCTGTGCAGTGTGATCTGTAGATGGTCCGGGTAGGTGCATGCAGTCACCTGCAGCCCCGCCTGAGTCTCAGTCTAGATCTGGGCTTCTTGTCTGGGGCCCAGCATCTCCCTAACACCTCTCTCTCTCTCTCTTACACACACACACACACACACACACACACAATCTCACAAGCACATACTTGATGCTTCTGAAACAGGTTCAGCAAAGCAGACCACCCACTTGAGAAGCAAAGCCCCCGTGGGGATGCTCTGCAGCCCCAGGAGGAGGCAGCAGCATGGGACCCCTGTGGAGCCCAGGGCTGATGCCGCACTGTGAGCTGGGAACACCCAGCCCCACCGTCCTTGTCCCCGGGCCTAGTGGACACAGCCGTGAGAGGGATCTGGCCCCACTGGCAGCGTGAACACTTTCTCTGGGCAGATCCGCTCGGACACGATGTGGGTTCACGGGCACGTTCAGTCCTCGTCTCCCTCACGCCCATTCCCAACAGAAGACTGATGTGTGCGCGTGTGTGTAGAGGGGGGGAGGGACGAGGTGAGCAAGGTGAGGAGGAGCCCACGTGTGGAGCGGGCACCTAAGATCATAAGCCATGCTGTCTGTCGGGACAGAGGGGAGCAGACTGGGAAGCCCTGTGGTTGCTGCTGCATTTACTCCTTGAAGCCTCACGGTGTAAGGATTTGGTGGCAGCACCTCCCCCCTCCACCCCCACCCCCTGGCTGGTGGCACTGTGTTGTAAGCTCTGGACGGCTGACCACAGGCCAGCAGCCGGAACCCACCAGCCACTCTTGGGGAGGGGGAGAGGGGTAGCGGGAGCTGAAGCTGTGTGCTCCCGTCAAGATTTGCAGCCTCAGAAATGCTCTATTGGGGCGCTGTGAGTCAGAACTGACTGGGCGGCAGCGGTCCTCCTAGTTTACCAATGAGGACAGGGAGGCTTGGCGAGGCTCAGTAACTCGACTAGGCTCCAGCTTGGGAGGAATTTGAGCCCATATTCTACGCCGAGGGGAAGCCCTTGACCGCCGAGGGGTGCTGCCCGTCTAGGATGTTTAAGCGTGGGAGCAGAGACGCTCAGGGGCGGGTGTGCATGGGTCATCCGAGGCCCGGGACAGCGGGCAGGAGGCTCGGCATCTGTGTTGGCAGTTCAGTGTGAATGTGTGTGCAAGTGGTAAACGTGTAGGAGGTCCCGGTGTGGTGCAGTGAACAGTTACCAAGCTGCCAACGGAGAGCCTGGCATGCACTCAGAGTGCCTCAGGGGAAAAGGCTGGCTGGAGAGCTACCATTGAACACCCCAGGGAGCACAGGGTCACAAGGGGGAGTGGCCTGGGTGGCCAGTGGCGTCGATAGGTGTGTGCCTGCCTTCAGCAAATTCAGCCCCTTGCCCTTGTTCCAGGGCGTGGTCGGGGTGCTGGTTGCCCTGCAGCAGCCCAGGAGGCCTGTCCTCAGTGGTGGGGAGATGCCAGGAGGACTCTGCCACGGGGGCCTGGCTGGCATCACCTCTCTTGGCTCCCAGACTCCCCGAGATCCCTGGTCTGGCTGCTCCCCAGCTCAGCTACCTTCACTGGGTCTCAGGCTGCCTGTCCAGCCTGGGGAAGAGACCCTGCAGATAGATACACACACATATGTACACACACACACACACACAGCCACCTGTGAGCAACAGCCATCCCTCCCAGATAGAACCTGAAGCCGAGTGCTCACCAGAGCTTGACAGGAGACTGGTGCCCCAACCCTGGCCACACCGCGGACACCACGGACACCCCCTGCACCCCCAAGATACTGGGTGAGCCCCTGAGGACATGTGCATTGAAACCACAGAGAGCTAGGCCTTACGCCAGGTTTATGGCTCTCACCCAGTGAGAGAGGTCACCCAGGAAGCCCTGCAGAGCTCCCCAGCCCACCCCTCAGCCTGAGACTGCAGCCAAGGCCTATGGAAGCCCTCATTTCCCTTTTCTGTGGGCCTCAGTTTCCCCAGATGCAAACTGAGGGCCCTCAAGCTCAAGCATGGTAAGGGTGGCAGCCCCCAGGGATCCGGCTTCCAACATGGTTCACTGTCACACACAGCTTGGGCCTCCGTTGCCAGGAACCAAAAGCCCTGTGTCCTGCAGCAGCTGAGGAGATGGGCCCTGTCCTGAGACTGGTCAGGTGGGCAGGGATGGGATGAGAAAGGATAATGGGGTTTGTTCTAGGCACAGGTGTCCTCAGCCGTGGCCACAGAGGACAGTGACAAATTCAGGATGACTGATTTCACTAGATGGGTCTTGAATGCAGAAGAAGTCTGGAGACCACAGGGGAGGAGTGAAGCCATCCACACATTCCGTCAGCATTCATGGAGCACCTGCTGTCTACAGGGACTCCCAGGGCATGAAGGGTGACTGAGGCACAGTGTGGTAGTTACATAATCGGATGTCAATTTGAGGATTAAGAGTATAGGGGTGGAATCTAGCCTGTCAATCCGGATATAGCCAATGAAGCCTCTGTGTAGGCATGGCCTTCTCCTGAGGATTCTGGGAACTCCAGTTTTTTTCCCTCCTTGAAGGTGGGAGACACTGGCTCTCTAGACTCACTCCCTGTGAAACTCTTTCCTGACTCCCTGTGAGACTCTCTACTGACTCCCTGTGAAACATCCCTGAGGAGAAGCCACATGGACCTACCCTAATGCAGCCAGAGCCCTGAGAAGCCACATGGACCTACCTTAATACAGCCACAGCCCTGGAGGAACCACGTGGAGACCCCTGCCAGTGATAAGATGCTTACAACGCCACTGGATCCACAAGACTTCTGACCCACTGGCCTGTGATCCTCCTGCATACGGCATCATTGCATGTGTTTCATGAGTCCGAAGAGGGCTTTATAGATTGGTATCAGACACATGGGCTAATATTGGACTTATGAACTTGATCTGGACTGGGCTGGGATGTTTTCTCAATATTCAATTGCTCTTGTATATAAACCTCTTTGTTACACACACATGAGAGTCTATGAATTTGTTTCTTTGGTCTACCCAGACTATCACGTGCAGAGATCACCTTCCAGGAGCTTGCCACTCTGGAGGAAGACAAGCCAGGGCTCACGTCCCCCACGGCAGGGGGGGGACGTGTTGCCATAGGAACTCAGAGGAGGGAGCGGCCTCTCCCTCTTTGAGACCCAGGGAAGGCTTCCTGGAGGAGGGGACCAATTCACACATGGGGGATGGATGACAGAAGACCAGGGAGAGCAAAGGCAGGTGTCCAGGGCCATGAACCAAGACTGCCTGTTGGGTCAAACGAGAAAGAGAAGGCCGGGGCCATCTGGGTAAGGTCCTTGGATGCCAGGCCAAGGATGACGCACTTTACCCATGGGCAATAGGGAGCCAGTGAAGGCCAGGGAGCAGAGGCGCACTTCAGAAAGATGGATCGCAGCACTCGGGAAAGAGGGTGAGGGGCAGGGCCTGTCTAGGGGTGCGGGGGAGATGTGGGCGGATAGATCTGAGTCTGGCAGGCTTGGGAGACGAGGGGTAGGTGTGGGAGGGAAGAAATGACTCAGAATTTAGTCAGGTTGGGTTTCTGTCTCAGCTTTGCCGTATGGCTTGGGCAGGTAACTCAACCGCGCTGCCCCTCCTCCTTCCCCTCTCCCATAAAATCTCAACCAACCCCACT